TTTTTTTATAAATAGGGGGCAAACGGTCAAAGAACACATAGGTGGACAATGGCCTAGACATCCGCAATACCAGAGGAAATACAGATGCGTTGCCTGAAACTACGTTTAGTTTTTACTAATCTTAGGTCATTTTGAAAAATAAGCTAATTAAAAAAAAAGATTAGTACTTTATATTACCTACTAGCTTCCGGCCGCGACTCCGTGTGTAATTTTAAAAAAAAATTATTAGTCTATGTGTTCTTCTAGAGTTCTAGAATATGATCTACATCTATGCCTAAATTCATCGAGATTCCTTCAGCCGTATAGGCTACTAAATAACAAACATCCATCCTTCCAAACTTTCGCATTTATAATATTAGTAAGATTCTTTATCCTGTATTTTTTCTAGATCAAAAGTAATTATCAACAAAGTGTTAGAAGCGAAATTGAAAGAAATAGAAATAGGTGCGGATGGATTTATGGTTTACGATGTCCGATTGGTACCTTATGTAAATGAGGTATGTAGTTTTACAAACACTATTAACAGTGCTAGTTTTAATGATTCCAGCGCTCTGGGCAAAACTTCTAACCCCCTTGTCTTGGGAGATGAGTTAAGATTGCCAGAAAAAAAAACACCGACATTTTCTTCTCTTAGCCTTGTAGTACAATTAATTATTTTTATAAGGAAGCTTATAACTGTTTAACTTTTTGTTCTTCATGAATGGGTGTTAAAAAAGCTAAAAAAAAAACATCAACCTTTTAAGGTTTTTCTGCAAACTGCGTTACAACTCGGGAAGTTAAATTTCAATATAAATGGTTGAATAAAAAGTTAATTGTTTACTGAATACAGTTGCATAAGTGCATACGTAGTTTATTTTCCTTATAATAGTAGGAACGGGCGTTAGATTAGGGCACTGCAGGGCGTTCGCCCTTAGCTCTGTATAGAAAGAGGCGTCACAAGTGAACCATATAATCTCATAACCCCCTCAAAAGCATAAGAAAAAAGGGCGAAGTAGACATCACGATATGGTTGCTGGTAGCCCTAAAACTGTCACTGTATTAAAGCATGTTGTCCCTTTCCCTCTTATAGATAACTTGTGATTTTTACCTTCTCTTCTACTATAACATCAATATGTAAATGCATATGTAAACATAAAACCGCAATTCATTGCGATAACCAATGACCCTACGACTTGAATAGTCTTGTTTACAGATGTTTTATAGATCACATTATATTACGAAAGGTTATAATTCACATATTAGCTTACGCCCGCGCATTTGCCCGCGTGAATTAAAAAAAAAACAAAGTCAAGTAGCTTATGTGTTCTTCCAGACTATGCTCTACATTTATGCCAAATTTCATAGAGATCCGTTCAGCAGTTTAGGCTACACTTTAACAAACATACATCTATCCATCCACGTCTATCTTAACTTTTGCATTTATAATATTAGTATGATTAGTAAGATTTTATTGGTATTCTAGCTTTGGAAGAAAAATGGTACGTCTAATCAAATATCACGTAAATTAGACGTTGATATAACTGCATTAGACTTATTAACTATCCCACAAGGAGGTGTGACTTTAGAAGGAATTAAACATAATATTGCTGTTACTATACAATTTATATACCACTGGTTGGCTGGTATCGGCCATTTCTTTTATAACGGTAATGTTGAAGATTCTGCCACAGCGGAAATATCAAGAGCGCAAATATGGCAGTGGATACGGTTTTCTGTGAGTTTTATTGATTAACTAATTAAGATATTATAGTATTCTGATAATTGTCTACTAACTTTCGCTCGCAACTCTGTCGGAATTAAAAAAAAAACAAAAGTAGTCTATGTTCTTCCAGACTGTTTTACATCTGTGGGAAATTTCATCCAGATTTATACAGCAGTTTGCGCTACAAATTCTTACAAACTAAACTTTCGCATTTATGTTAATAAAATATTTATGGGAAACTGTGATACAAGTTGTAAGTTTTCGGAAAGGAAATGTTTAAACAATCAACTATTGTTCTTTGACGCTTTTATTTTTTTCCAAGTAGCTTTTATACGCGCAAATTAAAAAAAAACTTAATTAGTCTATGCCTTCATCCAAATTTTATTCTACATCTTTGACATACTTCATCTGTTCAGTAACTGAAATGATGGGACTCGAGTGATTTTTTTTCACTCGAGTCACTCGGTACTCGTAACTATCTCACTCGAATGCCACTCGAGTGAAGATAAAACTCGAGTGATGTTTATAGACGCGAGTCACTCGGAATATAAAAATCGAGTAATCAAAATTTAAAAACCAATAAAAAAATGTTAATTTAGCATAAAGAAATTATTTTCGCATAAAGGTAAAAGTTACTCAAAAAATCTGTACAAAATGTGTAAAAATAGTGTTTTCCTTTAAACTAAACCTGTTTACATAATCAAGAAGCCTCTTATATCAACTATTACTTAAAATTTTATAGTGTACTACTAATAAGTTCTAATCTAATTAAATTAAATCTAATTAAATTTTAATAAATTCTTACAAGTAATTTTCATGAGATCCAAATATGAACAGTTTGATTATGTTCTTACATAATTTTGATAATAAACATGCTTTAAAATTAACTTAAACGAAGCTTAAATAAACTCTACAAAAGAACAGAAATAGTGTGTTTTTAAAAAGATAACAAATTTAACTGGAAATGCTGTAAAAAGTTCTTACTCCGCTTAGTATAAACCAACAAAATGGTTACGAGTCACTAGTAATTCGAGTCAACTCGAGTCACTCGCAACTCGGGTTGTCAAAAATTTCACTCGAGTCCGAGTAAGAAAAAAATGACTCGAGTCACTCGAGTAAAAAGCAACTCGAGTCCCATCAGTTCAGTTCTTTTGATACTTAGTAACATCCATCCATCCATACGCATTTATGTCAGAGTATAGTTACTTAAACAAATCACAAATGTTTTCGCGATTAATCTGTGATATACCAAGTTTATCTTCATACACTGTTATCTTTCACAATCTTTCTCAAGATTCTTAATAATATTTAATATTTCCCCAGCCTCTACTCGAAGATGATCCAAATCAAAAAGTAACACCAAACTTAATAGAAACAACCGCATCAAGTTTTTCTGCGCACGCGCGGAAATACCTTTGCAGATCGAGCGCGGAAAGGAAAAGATTAAACGCAGCTAAATATATGAGTTTAGAAATATTCTATTCACGTAACCCACCTGAATTCATCACAAGTTATTTGAATGATAATCATAAATTCCGTACATTGCATAATAAGGAACTTTTGAGTAATTTGTAAGTCCTTGTCTACTCCTTTCTGGTTTTTGAGGTAAGTAATTCAGTGAATAAATACTTTGAGTTTTGTGAATTTATAAATCTTGTTCTAGAGGTAATAATATAGATGTATAAAGAAGTCCCCTTAGTAATGTAATGTAGCTATGACGTAATGTTAGGGGTTAGAAATAAAGGTTTGTGAAAAGCATTCTAAAAGAAAAAGTGATAGGGAATATATTGCAACACTATTTACCCCTAAAATATATACCTGATTAGGTTAGTTATTATTTTATATTGTTATTTACTGGAAATTTTAAAAATTGTTATGGGAAAGCTTTAATCAATAAAGGATATTGTTAATGGGATTAAATAAAACAAATTTATAACAGGATGTGTTTAACATTTATCTCAAAAATATTTGTTTATTTTCAAATTTAATAATAAATGTAAATTACACTTAAATATGCAAAAGCTGTGATGTTTTATGCTATAATTTCAATAAAACTATCCAAGTAGAAGCGATACAAAAATTTTTTCACCTTATAAACGACAGAGTTGACAAACTACTATCTATCTCTTTCTATCTTGTGGACTTATCTCGTTCTCTCCGCAAAAATAAGACGGATTCGTCAACATTTGGATAACCATTTTAAAATCAGTGAATTATGTTGTCTTATTTTTCGTTGTTTAAAGATTGTTATTAACTGTAATAATAAAACGTTAGTTCAATTAATTAAAGATTTAAGAATTTTGTTTTTAAAAAAATTAGTCAACTAGTTTTAATTTAAACGAATTAAATGTTATTCTCGTTATTTAATTTATATTTACATTATAAATATATTCATATTTTTGAAAAATAATTTAAAAAAGTAACAGTGTTTACTAGAAAAAGTTGCGTACCCCTGCATTTTTGTATCGCTTCTCGTGGAACATAATAGTAACAATAAATTGATTACGTCTCAATATAAGAAAAGGAAAAATTTTATAGCAAAATACTCAAATTATGCGTCAAAAAACTTACGATATACAGTTTTGAATAGACAAAAAATTGTTAACGGAATGTGAAAAACTGTCTTCTTATGTGCTATTAAAAACTGGACAATACAAGCACCAAAGTTACATTACTTAAAGCACATTTACATATATTAATATTTGTATGTATAAAATGTATTATTTAACTAGCTGTTCCCGTGCGGCTTCATCCGCATTAAATTATGAAAATTTCATTTTATTGATTACATTTGTCAAATTATCTATAGCAAATGTCAAAATGACATGACATTACAAACCTTGGCAATATTGTTTTCTTGATGTTGGCAGCAATTTATGGTCTCTTTCCCACATTAGTGTTTTTATCCAAAATATTTATCCCCTAAGTATAATGGCGTGAAAATAGCCTAAAGCATGACGTAAGTGTAGGGCTTTTTATTAAAGAATTATTCAATAACATGCTGTAATTGCTGACATCTTAGGCAACAAAGAAGTGTGTGTTTACGCTTTATTATAATAGTATAGATAATAGACTGTTAGTGGTAGCATAAAACGGCAATTTTATTACTAGTGAACAAGATAGTTCCTTAGTGTAGGATTCTCATTAAATCTCCACTAAATATCCCTTAGTGACCAACATTAATTACAACACTTTTATATGTGAATATTTAAAATGCGTTAAGAGTTCCACAATTATTTTTTTCACTTCAATCACTTATAAATTGTGGTTCCGTTAACATTTATTTCAAACTAGCTATTTCCCGCGACTTCGGACCATAATAACAAAAAACTACGTATCCCTCGGGAACCGGAATTTCAGGGATGAATCTTATCCCATGTGTACTCCAGACTTTGTTTTATATCTGTGCCAAATTTCAATAAGCTATGTTGAACCGTTGCAGAATGATCGAGTAAACATTAAAATACAAAATTAACGAATCCCACGGGAACCGTAACTATTTCCGGGATAAAAAGTAGCCTATGTGTTCTTCCAGACTATGCCCTAAATCTGTATTTCATGAACAAACATCCATCCATATTAGTACAAAATGACATATGTTATCGCGGTCGCATAGTATGCTAAGAGACGGAGCATCGTGAGTTTTGTTCTCCGCCTACTCTTTGTCGCAGCAGCGCGCGCGCAAAGTTCGTGTCCCGAGATTGGATATCGCTTTGATCTCGCATTGACATCGCTAAAGCGTGTGCTAATGCTTCGTCTTCAGTCTGGAATTTAAAAAAATCGTTAAAAAAACACATTTCAAGCTTCAATAGTCTAATGGTTTGGGGTACGGACTACCGAGCCATTCGACTATTGTCGCGAACCATATCCTAACACAAGCCTAGAACTTAATTGGAATGGTTAAAGGAAATATTAGTAAATTAACAAAAATCTACTAATATATTTGAAAAAAAAAAAAACAGTAAAATTCAATAGTGAATTACAAATTATAACACAATTGTTGCTCGCGACTTTATCCGTATGAAAATAAAAAATATATAACCTATGTTACAGCTAAATTAACTTTTTAACGGTGAAAGATTTTTTAAAATCGTTCCAGTAGTTTTTGAGTTATTCTAATACAAACAAAAATACAAATCTATACTTTTTATCATATTAGTATATATATGATTGACAATGTCATTTATTACAGATTTGTTTTGGAATGTTTCTATGCATATTATTTATTTATTAAATAGTATAATACATACAATTGCAATAGTCTCAAATTATAATATCTGTGATTCTATTCCTTGCAAAAGTAATTTTATTTAGCTTTTTTTTTAATTATCCATTCCAATTAAATTCATCAATAAATTAAAATTTCAACAAAAACATTTACGAAATTCAAAAATAAACCAAAAAAATATACCTTAAAAATAACAAATAATCACCCATTATATGACAATAATTTTTTCCCTTCCAACTTCCTACACCCATATTTATCAAAACTTCAATATTTTCTAAAGATAAAATGATATTTACCATATTTCCTTGTACATCTGTAAATGTGGTAACTGGCACTGCAGAAGGCCGAGGAGTGTTTCGGTTAAGGTTGCCGTTTGCCTTCATTCTTGCCATCGCAGCTTCCCTGGAAATTATAAAACAAAAAAGTTTAAACCAAACAATAGTTTTATTAAGATAATTGTAAACTGGTAAGAGTTAGGTGTATAGATTCTGTAGATTGTGAAAAAAAAAATTAAAGGGTATTTTTGTTTCTAAGGTTGGTATAGTAAAGTTTTACTATAATTTACAGTAGGGAATAATTGTCCATTATTTGATAAAGGGTTAAGAAACAATTTAATACCTTTAACATTTTTACAAGTCTAGTCTTTGCTGTGTTTACTTTACTTTTAATAAAACTAGCTTTCGCCCGCAACTCGTAAAAGAGCCTATGTGTTCTTCCAGACTATCTAAATCTAAGCTACATTTCATCAGGATCTATTCTGTAGTTTAGGCTACAAACTAACAAACATCCATCTAAACTTTCGCATTTAATATTAGTAAGATATAGCCTTTTACTCATTGGTACTGTAGCTTTCTACTGATAATAGTTTTTTTTTTTAATTGAATCAGTTTTTGAGGTTATTTAATGGAATCAAATCATTCCTCTTTTTAGTATTAGTATAAATATTTGTATCAGACTTACGCAGCCTGTCTTCTTTTAGCAGCTAATTTCCCTTCACAAGCATGGTCGGTTGTGTGTCTATGCCTCAAACAGTAGTTGAGGGAACACTCGCTGCACACAAGAGCTACCATTTCTTTAGTTTTGCATCCTTTGTATGAACATTTGTTCGTAAATACCTGAAAATTGTGAATATATATTTTGGTAAATAAAACATTTTATAAAATAATGCTAAATCATAGTCTTACATAATATAAAGAGGACATACTTAAACCAGTTCTTATTGCAAAAAAATTGTGCCAATCCTACTAGTAAATAGGACCAGATCTGCTAATGATTTGTTGAACATCTCAAATAATATTTGCAGTTTTAATCCCTTTTTATTTACATTATTATGCATCTCATCTAAAAATTATACTAGCTTCCTATCACGATTCCGCCAAATTTAATCGAGATCAGTTAAGAAGTTTAGGCTACAAAATCTAATAAACATCCATCCAAACTTTCGTATTTATAACATTAATATGATTGTCACATTTCTATTAAAACAATTTTTTTTGTCCAAAAAAAGTTATTAACTTATTTTTTAAGCAAATAAATCTGTTACAAGGTCAATAAAACTGATAAGTGCACTATTTATAACTTACACAATCATGTTATGTTTTCCGTTCTACTTAGTAAATATCTTTAAATTTAACAATTAACATTTCTAACTCATACATGTGTGTAACTCCAGACTATCCTCTACAGATATGCTTAATTTTAATCCTGAGATCCATTCATCAGTTTTGGTACAAAATCAAACAAACACCTATCCATCTAAACTTTTGCATTCATAATAATAGTTATTACTAAACCAACAAATTTTATATTATTTTTAAAACTATTTTAAGAGAAGTAAAATATACCACACCTCTATACTGAAAATTATGCTTTTATAACCAATAAATTTCTTCTAAATACACTCAAAATATTTTTCTATTATACAAGATTTTATCAAACTACCCTCATCTAACATTGTACATATATTCTAGAGTACCTTTTTCCGCCTTTCTTTTGCTGGATCTGACATGCACTGGTTGTCTATATGAGCTCCGACTGCAACATCTGGAGGTTCTCCCCGTCGACCAGGGACCGGAGCTCCACATAGCGGACAATCAGGCACTTGTACATCTCTTGTGTTTGGCTCTGGACACTCATGTTTAACATATCCAAAGTGTTCAGAGCTGTAAAGAAACAAGTTTCATATAAGATTGAGTAATTTTGATAATTCATTATTGTACAAGGTGGCCAACACAATCACCAGCTAATAATCTAGAGGGAAGCCGGCCAATTTTTTAATTTTTGACCCTTTAGGGTCGCATGCATGAATTTGAAAAGCAAAGCAAAGTGGCTGTTCCCCATAGATAGCATTTGCAGATGCATTGCCTTAATTGACAGAGGGAATACACAAAAAGAGCATATTTCCAATTCCTATGCATCCCCTCCTCTGCTTAATTCAATTTTTATGTATTTAAGTGCAAAGTTAATTCAAAAATAAAGAACAAAGTAATGTTAATCAAATGTAGATAGAAATTGGGTTGGCAGAAAATAAAATTTTATATTAGAATATTGTCTAACAACAACTTTAACAAATTAAGAATAATACTAGATTGAAATGTGTAGAGAGTGTGAAGTAGAGCATGATGCAATTAGTGTTTGAAAAAAAACATAATTTGGCAAGCTGCAAGTAAATCGCTTTTTACACAATTATTACTTGGTAATTATTAAGAGTCTTTATGAGTCATTGAACAGAAAAATTGATTACTCACCAAAATATCTCCTTGCAAGCCCCACATTTCATTGGCAGGAAATCTTAAAAGAAAGTTTTCTCGTTGAAGTTAAAGTTATAGGTTGCTTTTAAATATAAATCATGTCACTAACTTAAGCTAACAAATCCTTGGTAATGGTCTAATTGGTCATACAAGGTAGTATTAAACAAAGAAATGTAAGAAATAATAATTTTACGTCACATACCCAATTTGTTGCAAGATTTATATGAACAATTCTTCCCAATATGCGGGAACTCCATTATTAACTCTTTATTATTTCTGGACTTAAACTGATAATATATCTGACTAACTGAATTTACAAATTCATTCTCTTATATACTAATTTATAGTTAAAAATTGAAACTAATTCGTCATTCAACAACGAAGAAACGTCAAATTTTTGACATTTGTCTTGTGTTGCAATGTCATACTCATATGTCAGTGTCAATAACGAATGATGCAGAAAATTCTAGAATTTACGAAAAATAATGATTGTTGTACAATATGTTGACATTTATAATAAATATTATTATTTCAAACGATTTATTATGTGGATTCATTACAAAGCCAAAACCATTATAGTTACAAATCTGCAATTGGCGCCAGTAAGCAAATACAATCAACCAACAAATGCGACCAACTGTAAACCCAAAATTAAGGCAGCCACACACCATACGGATTGCTTCCAGCGGTAGGCAAATAGCTGCATTTCAAACTGCGGTCTGTGTATGGGTAATATACAAGTATGTATTGATTACCCACTGTTGCGGCAGTTTATGCTTGCTTATTCTCAAGGCGTAGACATATCTACATATATTTATAGAGTTAATTGGGCAAAGAAAATTGTATATCCGACGTGATATGAAAATACAGTTCAGTTTCACTTTTGCCCACTAGGCATTTAACGCACTATTTGTAGACTACATATTCGACAACGCTAATCTGACAAATTACAGTCAAAGAGATTTTTAGTGTCAAATAATTTAAAAATGAATCGTTGATTTTTAATATTCATTTTATGTATGCAATAATAATTTTATAAAATAAGAATTGCATTTTGGTGGAAAAAGTTTAAGTGATTGTTTTTCTTTCTATTTTATATTACATTTGTTACAACTAGCATAAAAATAAACCATGAACAATGCTAGATACAGTCAAATAATGAAATTAGCTACAGTAGCAAAAGCTACTTTTAAAATTGAGGTAAAAGAACCAATGCTTAAAAATAAGTCAATGAATTTCTAGATAAGTTTTAAAATTTCTTGTTATTGTAGAGACCATTCAAGTTACATAAATTAGAAAAATGTCCAGCATCCATGGTAACCTTGACTTCAGAAGAAGCTATCAAAATTTACGAAAAGTTAGTGATGTTACGACGAATAGAGAATGCGGCAAATACAATGTATAAAGAGAAACTAATCCGAGGCTTTTGCCATTTGTATACAGGTGAAATAAATTAAAAATCTGTCTACATAGCTATCTTAAGAAATAATCAATATACCTATAACTATCCTGATCAATTAGGTAGGACCTATTTCTGTCTCTCTTTCTCATAACCAGGTCAAGAGGCAGTAGCTGTGGGTATACATTCAATGCTTCGGAAAGTAGACACAGTGGTGACGTCATATCGCTGTCACGGCTGGGCTCAGCTGATGAGCGACGACATGTTCGGCGTGCTCGCGGAGATCGCCGGCTCTAAATCCGGGCGTTCGCGGGGCAAAGGTGGCTCCATGCACATATACGCTAAGAACTTTTATGGTGGGAACGCTATCGTTGGCTCTCAGGTTTGACACGATTTTTTTTTTGTTTTAGGCTAAGGTATTATTACATTCAGTTGCTTTGTCTATTGTTGGTCCTTCGATTAAAGAAGGTAAAAATTAGCAGTGGAAACCCAAAGAGTCTTCTTCACTTCTTCCTGGTTTACAGTTGAAAGTGTCTTCTACTTCTACTTCATATATTTCTGGGTCCGTTACTGATTTAGTCATGTATTGATAGTCATTATATTTAGATTGCGTTGGGAGCTGGTATTGCTTTCGCGCACAAGTATCGCAACGATGGTGGCGTTTGCTTTGCCGTGTATGGCGACGGCGCGGCTAACCAGGGCCAGGCGTTTGAAGCGTACAATATAGCCAAACTTTGGGATCTGCCTTGTGTGTTTGTTTGTGAAAATAATACATACGGTGAGTAGTGTAGAGTGACGGTTACTAAAAAAAAGTTTTAATAGACAATGGATATGACGAACTAAGTGGTTTAAGGAATGGCAAAAATTATTTATATCAACGAGAGCTTGATTTCCTATTTAAAGGTGTTGATTTGATGTTTTTGTAAAGGAATGGGCACGAGCATTAAGCGATCGTCAGCCAGCACAGAATTTTATAAGCGTGGCAATTACATCCCCGGAATTTGGGTGGATGGAATGGATGTTTTAGCAAGTAGAGAAGCTGCTCGTTATTCTATCGAACATTGTACCAGTGGTAAAGGTTTGTAACTAGTATAAATATTTCATTTTCAAACTGTCAAGGTCGTTAGACACACAGTTAAGTACAAAATATCCCGATTCACGCTCAAACAATTTCCGAATAATTTAATTTATTAATGATTAGGTCCATTAATTATTGAGATGGAAACCTACCGGTATACTGGACACTCTATGTCCGATCCTGGAACATCTTATCGGACGAGGGAAGAAGTAAAACAAATGCGAGAGAAAAGGGATCCTATTAAAATGTTTAGAGAGAAAGTTACAAGCACTGGGCTGGTCACCGCAGAGAAACTTAAGGTAAACGCTGAGAAACAAAGAGTTTTTTTTTTATACAATCGAAAACCTTACTGATGTTTTTAAATTATTTGTAGGAAATCGCTAGTCGTATTCGCGAAGAAATTATCGAAGCAATAGAGAGGACAAAATTAGAAAAAGAAAGCATTCCGGAAGATGTTGCCGCAGATATTTATCAAAAAAATCTTCATCCATTTATAAGGGGTATAAGACCTGACACGCCTTTGGAACACGTAAATTTTTATAAAGGGGAAAATGTTTTTATTCCATTGGAAAATAAAACGAAAGAGATTTAAGTTTCGTACTATCGAAATTGCGTGTATTTAGGGAATAAAATTCGATATTTCTTTAAAGAGTTGTATAAATTACAAAGAGGGATTCTTTTAGAGATTTGTGGTAAGTTTTTAGATTTTTTTAAAAATATGCATAACGGAACGTATGGTAAGTAGTGCGCAATGACCTTTTTGTCCCTGAGATAAAACTGTCAACTTTGTGTGGTGTTGTCATGTCGCCAAATGTCATTTTCAGTTTAAGACGTCCGGGGACGGCTCTGTACAGTATTTTACACATTTCTTTGTAATAAAGTGGTCCATATTTTGGATCACAGTTTTAATCTGGGTTTCATTAGAAACTTCATAGAAACAATGAGTAAATTACTACCATCTGCTGCCAAATTTCTAAATGCTTCCGCTATCCCGGTCGGTACAGTGTTTGGATTCTTTATTTAAGTTTTGGATTTATATAAAGGTGGTTAATTATATGAATGGTGATGATTTTGTTATAGAAATCTGCCGCCCCGGTAGTTTCAACATCAAGCTCGAAATTCAGCACGAAATCTGAGGCTACATTCGAAATTAAGGTGAATATTTGTCTTTTAGAAACTTTTTCTATGTTTTCTATAACGATACATTATTGAAGTTTAGCGATATATTAAGTATTTAATTATTAATAATGTATCGCTCTAGTTTATATAAGGAAAGTTTTATGTTTAGCAAATTATGTAACATAACCTTCAAATGTCAAGTGTAAGTTGTTTTATTATCGTATCTGATTAGTTAAGTAATGTTTACAAAAAATAAGTAATTAAATACTTACATTTTAATGCCAAAACACCCACAAACATTGTACCTAGAAAACATGATATTTTTTAAAATTAGATTTAATATTTATAATTTAGTAGAGTTGAATTTGGTAGATATTCGATATATAACAAAGAGATCGAATTATAACTTATTTATTATATAATATATAAGTATCTTCGTATTCCTATTTCATAGGTTTTTTGATTAGAACTTGGATAAAAAAAATATTGCAATTTTTTATGGTTTATCAAGATTAGATTTTATCAATGCGCAAATAGTTGTGAAACAAAAGTTTAAAGAGATTCTACATGTCTTATTACTTTGATTTGCTAATTCTTAGTATATTTATTATGTTTCTAGCCCTACAAACTCCATAAATTGGAGCAGGGACCTGCAACATCAGCAACTCTATCTGCAGAAGATGCACTCAAAATGTATGAGAAGCTCGCAACTCTGCGAAGAATTGAAACAGCATCGGGTAATCTGTACAAGGAAAAGATTATCAGAGGCTTTTGTCACTTGTATTCAGGTAAATACTATAAATTTTCCATTCTCTTACAAAGAAAAGTGAATAAAATCCTGTCTCTTTAGAATTTAGGTATTACTATGTTACTAAATCTGGGTTTGATTTTTTGAATAATTATTATTTAATAGACACGGATCAAATCTACCAATAAACAACTTACAAAACATTTTAAAGAATGTTCTTGTTCTTATTTAAAGTAATTTTTACATTAAAGTCATATTTTAACACATTCTGTGTTACCATGCTCTGTGGAGATAAATATACAAAAAAGTTTTATGATAATTCAAATATTTATATGGTTGATGTAGTTTTTAAAATTGAGATTGATTTTTAATAGGCCAAGAAGCGGTAGCAGTTGGTATGAGAGCTGCAATGCGTGATGTAGACAGTGTGATAACGGCTTACCGCTGCCACGGATGGACTCATCTGATGGGTGTCAGTATACTCGGTGTATTGTCCGAGCTAACTGGTCGCAGGACTGGCTGCTCGAGAGGAAAAGGTGGTTCTATGCATTTGTATGGAAAGAATTTCTACGGAGGAAACGGAATTGTGGGAGCTCAGGTATGTTACGAATTAATTTTTGTTTCTTAATTTACCATTAAATGGTATTATCGTGGTATTACCAAAAGTTTTGAAAAAATTTAATGCATGATGAGTGTTATAATAATGGACAAAACATAAGAAAAATTTGGCATACAGTATCTTTGGTTGACTATTGTATTTATATAACAGTGCTCATTTATAAAATATACAACTCTGGAATCATAGTTTTTAAAGAAAACTCATTTTTTTTCACTTAAGGGTAATTGACATGGACTGTTATATTATAGTTTATTTTTTAAAATCATGTGCTGTCAAAATTTAGGGAGACTTGTATGTCTGGCATGGTTATACTGATTTTAACGTAGCGTATGTTCGGGGGATTATTATCAGCGACTTTTTTTTTTAAAATTCCGCACTTATGAAGTGTTCAACTACAGTAGAACCTTGATAACTTAAAAACCTCTATAACTCCAAAAAATAATGTGTTCCCCTCCCATCAAAGCCTAAAACCTCTACAACATAGACCCTTGATAACTTAAAACCTCTATAACTTAAAATGTTTTGTTTTCCTTGGACTTTAACTTATCGAGGTTCACTAGATACTAGTAAAGTTAACAGTATAGAATGTTTTAGGCCCCGTTAGGTGCTGGTATTGCTTTAGCCCATAAGTACCGGGCTGATGGAGGTGTTTGTTTCACATTGTATGGAGATGGAGCGGCCAATCAGGGCCAGTTGTTTGAAGCATACAATATGGCCAAGTTATGGGACCTGCCTTGTGTGTTTGTCTGTGAAAACAATGGATATGGTGAGTTTTATTGAAGTTCAAGACTTATTAGTTTATTGATTTTTAATATTGAAGGTTTTTTTTAAAGATTTCTAATGATAAACAGATTTTAGTAGATTTAACTATATTATTTTAAATTAACATACTCTTGTTTTTCTTCTTTATTGTTTTTTTTTTCGTAAAATAAAAGCATGCTTTGTTGTACCATTCCAATTAAGTTTTGGCCTCCTATTATACTATACTTCTAATATGGTTTACTATAGTTTGGCGAAAACTCTCGACCATGGGGTCTATCTATCTATCTATTTCTTGTTTATGGCTCTCCCACAGCGGATTGGGCCAGTGTCAAGTGTTTGTGGTTTTATTCTAATTTGGGAGAAACTGTCAACAAAACTCTGCTTATCCCTTTTCTTGTTAGTATACACTAAAAAAAAAATTGTGTAGAAATAGAAAAAAAAATACAGATACCTGTAGAGATACATCAATTTTTTTTCTAAACACCTTGGGTCATTAAGGTTAAGTGCTATGAATATTATTTTGATATTCAAAAAAATAACATTCTGCCAAGTTAAGGGTTATGGAGAACCTTGGGGTCGGAAATCCGTTTAACAAAACTATTTGCAATTTATACATATATATTGCTATCTTTGTCTCTCATTCTTTAAAAAAGAAGACAGCAATATATATTTGTATGTTAGTCAAGTAGATGGACAGTTATAAATATTAGAAGTACAATGGTACACTTTAAGATTAAATTCTTGATATAATATATTAATCTTTGTTTTTTAATCTTTTAATTAAATTGAATAAAGCGGATTTATTTCGATTTCAGACAGTGACATACGTGTTTCTTTGTTTTTCTTTAAATATGTTCTTTTTTAAATAATAATAAACTTATTGCATTTTTTAATTTACCGTATGCATGTAATTTATTGTATTTTTTTACGTATTTAAATATACAAACATGTCTGTTTTTATAAGTCTGTGTTTTTTTTATATTTACTCATATTTCTTCGTAAATTGCACCAATCCAATCATATTGTAAAGGGTTATTGCGGCCAGTAACTGATACGTCATATTAATTGATGCAAAAATACTATAGGTTTAAATTTAATTGGCTGTTTCCCGTTGGGCTGTTCGGTCTTATAGGAGTTTCCCTACTCTAATAAATTAATCTACCGAATAGCAGATCGGTTCGGTAGTAGTTTATTCTTATTGGGCTGAACGGTCCAAAGGGAAAGACCCTAATATTGAGGTCTTTCCAGGTATGGGTACCAGTGTAGACAGATCCTCCGCTAGTACCGATTACTACTCCCGCGGGGACTACGTGCCTGGGATCTGGGTGGATGGTATGGATGTCCTCGCCACGAGGGAGGCCACGAAGTACGCGATTGACTACTGTAATAGCGGAAAAGGTAAGGTAACAATGCTTTTCACTGCTTTTAGATGTTTTTTTATGGATAAGACAATAGCGTATATACTTGTATTTCTTAACAATATTTATTATTTTTTTTTAAATCGGCCCAGTGTTTTTGAGTTCTTTAAATTTGTACAAAAATACAAATCTTTCCTCTTTAGTAGTATAGATGTAAAACAGTCCAGAAGGACATATACTATTAAGTTTTGCATCAAACTAGTTTATCTTACTTCCAGGTCCGTTAGTAATGGAGATGGAGACATATAGGTATTCCGGTCATTCCATGTCTGACCCTGGCACCTCCTACCGTACCCGAGACGAGGTGCAGGAGGTGCGCCAGACCAGGGACCCTATCACCTCCTTCAAGGAGAAGATCCTCAGCAGGGAGCTCGTCACACCTGATCAGCTCAAGGTACGTGATAACTTCTACCTTTTAGGTGACGTCTATCTTTACATTTAAAAGAATTTAAATGCAATACTTACGATGACATATGTAACAATATGATAGACGTGAAGTGGAAGCAATTCCGCGTACAGTTTTATGTGTCAGGTCTAATTTTAGTGTACTTCCCTTTTCTACTTCTTTTATATAAGGAAAATATGGTTAACGGTAGAGGGGACGCAGGTAGGAGAAACTTTCTGTGCTGCTCCTCTGTTGATTAAAAGTAACGCATCTGCAGATGCAAATTTTTATAGAAAGCAGTCGCTTCGCTATTTTAGCGAATTCCAGTGACCACTGGTTCGATTGTTAAGTTATACAAAAAAACTTTTTAGTGTTAGAATTAGGAGTTTAAAAATTACCTTATTGTAAATTGAGTGGACGTACACCTTTGAGTAAACTATCGCACAACAGTTGTGCGATTGTCGATTGTTTCGCAGCAGATACAACTGTTTAGTTGCACAACTGAAAGTGGAGTGTGAGCTCCATATAAGGAATCAAAGACAAAACAGTAGTGCGATAGTTTTAGATTAGTCAAAATTGTGCGCGCTCTTTAATGTTTCATTATTCAAGCGATCGTTTTACCCCAAAAGGAGGTTCAATTCTTAATTTTTTTTTGTATTTAATACTGCGATATTTGTGTATTAGGAAATCGACGCTCAAGTCCGTAAAGAAGTGGACGAAGCCACGAAGCAGGCTAAGTCTGAGCCGGAAGTCGGCGAGGAGGAGCTTTCAGGAGACATTTACAGGAACAACCTGGAGGCCGTCATCCGCGGCCTGCACCCCGCCGCGCCGCTGCAGCACCGCGAGGTCGCGCAAAGGAACTGAATCTTGTACTATCGGGGAATTTGTCGGTGTTCTTATATGTCTTAAACGAATTGTCACATCTATACTAATACTAGCTCTTCCCCGCGACTTCATCCACGCAATATTAACATAAAAAAGTAGCCCGTCTATGTCAGCTACCCTTCAGTGAAAGTCCAGTCGAAATCGGCCCAGCCGTTTCGGAGATTACCCGGAACAAACGCGGCTTGCGGACAGAAGACAGAAAAAAAATTAAATTCGATTTTCGTTATTACCAACGCAAATACATCACCTTCCCAAAATATGGAATTTTTCATTTGACATTACAGACACTCCAATTTTATTATATGTATAAATAATTAAGCGTAAATACACACTACTTAGTTACATAGGATGTCAGCAATCGCATATTTTTGAGTAATTCCTCTTGTATTAAAAACCCTACACTTACGCGCTTTAGGCTATATATTTTTACCCTAAACTTGGGGGTAAATAAATTGGAAAAAATCGTGCAGGAAAGGGACAAAAACAACAAACTGCTATTGGTTTGTGAGTGTACAGAGAAAAAGCTTTTAACTACTCCACGGTATATGTACGTGAAGATTGAGGACGTGGAGATATTGCGAAAACCGGTTTAAACCGGTTTTTACTATACAGCTTTTCTGTACGATTTTATTACACCTGTGGTTTTGCCCACATTAAGATAACGCGGAATAATAAAGGCTTTAAAAGTTTCTGTACAAAAGAAGTCGTTAGAGGGTTTATTGCTTTTTATTATGTACCCGTCGTTTACGTAATTTGCTACCTAATCCTTATTCGTAAGAGGAACAGGGCGATTTTTGTAAATAGAACACTACAAATTCCCTCGACTGTACAAGGTAATGTAATCGATTTTAATAATATGTTTGTAATACAATAATTGTGACAGTTGTTTTTGCCCAGTTTGTTTTATTCCAGTCCAGTGCTAGATTACACTCGAATGTCCTGTTTTTTGTAGTAATGGCGGGATTTCACTGTTTGAATATAAAAGATTGTCATCCCTCCAGTTTTATTTGTAAAACAGAGATAGCAATATTAGTTTGTATTTTGGCAGTGGAAACTTACTATATTAGGGATGTGTAAGAAATCGGTAAAATTCAATGTGAAACAATTGTTTACTGATTTTAATAAATTAACCTCTAAATTCACTGGACATGTACAAGCCGTGGTATTTTATACCCAATTCATACTTTGCCAGTTGTGATGAAGTCATAGATTATATGGACTCACAATCAGTGTTCGCACTATGCCAGTTGATTGCCAGTCTAGTTGAGCGCTTTTGACCAACTGTACTGGCTAAGTGTGAACCGTCCGAAAAGTCTGTCAGATTTCCAAGCAGCGGTTTGTTTAGCGGTTATTTACAATTGTTACATTGCGATAAATTGTGTATTACAAATATAATAGTTGGAATATAGGAAATGTTAAATATCTAGATATTTTCAAAGGAATAAAATGAATATCATTGTTAGGAATCTTGTAATATAGATTAATTTAAAAACCCTGAAAGTTAAATTTTTTCGTTGATCAGTTGGATATGTTTAAATTTCCAAATGAGATTTTCTTTTAAATGTTTTATGTATTTGTTTTGTTATAAGGGTAAATGTTATTCTAAACTTTGAGGTTATCCTTTTTAGTAAAGTAATATCAACGAAAATGGATCATAAGTAAATTTTATTTATTAAATGGTATTATTATTTATTGATTTGTTTTATTTATACCACCCCACCTTTGCTATACGGGGTGTCCGGGAAAGACGTGTACAATAGACTACCACAGATTCTAACCTCTATCCAAAGTTCCTTTGTTATGGCGGTAGAAGGCTATTAATTTTACTAATTATTTTACATTCATTAAAATATCACGTAAAATGTTTTTATCTATACTGATATAATAAAACGTAAACACGCTGCTTTGTGGCGTAGGATGTCGGCAATCGGCATATTTTTGAATAATTCTTTCCTTATTAAAAAGTCCTATACATAAGCTTTAAGCTATATATTTTCACGCTATTATAGTTAGAAGGTAACTAAATTGGAGAAACCTTCATGTGGGAAAGGGAGTATAAACTACAAGCTGCCAACATAAGAAGCATGGTTATGGTAATTTTGACATTTGCAATTGTAATTTGACAAATCATCTAGTAGGTTATATCCTTATTGAAAGCATTGTTTCTGTTTGTTGAGCTACATTTGAGGAACAAACGATTGTTTTAAAATTACCAGGGAGCTCGAAAATTTAAATATCTAAACAATGGTATTATTGCAACCGCCTGTACAGACACTGTTTTTTTTCTTGGACAGCCCGTATTATTTCAGAGATTATTGGTCTCTGTAAAATTTTTTTGCCAATGGTTTTCGACCAAGGAATCTGCGGTCCTTTGTGTACGTCTTTCCCGGATCCTATATTTTTTGTTAATCGTTTTCACAAACCTGCTAAAAACATACATCCATCCAAACTTTCGCATTTATGTTAACTTGATCATAAAAGATTTATTGTCAAAATTGAATTAAAATTAAAACGTATTGCTGTTTATTTTCGTAGAGAGTAAAAGGGATATTTTTATACAAGGACATAGGATATTTTACTGGTTTCTACTATTTTATAAATAAAACACCATCGAATATAAAATTTTACTTTTATTATTTTACAATTCGTATCTACATTTTGAGTAAATCAAGAAACACATTTAAGCTTGCCTTTCACATTTTGAGCATAACCTAAAATTAAACTATTGTTAGAATATTGCAGGAAACGGAAAGAAATAATGAGGGGCTTTGCAACGAGTCGCTTAATATTTTTCTAGACCAATGTTCGAAATACGTAGTTACGCATTGAATTTGTCTTGTTGAAAGTAATTTAGAAAACGTTCAATTGATTATTTTGCTGTTCAATTATTTAAAAATAAAACCTTTAAATCGAAATAACTCTGTACAAATGCTTACAACTTTAATTGTCAACTCTTTAAATATCTACAAAAAAATCGATAATAATCACTTATTAGTAAGCACAAAAAACAAAAACGGGTCAAAAATCTCTCTTACTATTAATTAAACAATTTACAACTAGCAGCTATAAGCTATAACACAGAATAGGTCCCCTGCCACCTTGCCTTTGTGTAGTTTAAATAAAAAAAACACAACACAAACAGTAAAATTTGGGAGCAGAGAGCCACCGTTTAATTATATTGTCACATAAACAGGCACATGTGTTAATAAAGGCACGTTTTAAGCGAATTAAAAAGATAAGCAATAAATAGAATTGTCTCGCAATACTAGAAATCTTATTTTACTAATTGTCACGTTTTTATTATGCCGGCAAATTTCAAAATTAACATTGTCTTTGTATCAAAAACTTGTAACCTAACACGTGTAAAAAATAAAATACGACAGATGTCTTTGTCTTTTGTTGACATGTCGATTTTTTTGCACAGACTATGCAATGCAATACCGGATGTCTATGAGTAGCGGTTACTTGACAGTATGATGAATTCTTGTGGCCATCTTATGGAAAAAAAGATGTGTCAGCAATGCAATTTTTTTTCAATTACAGTCAATTACCAACAATTTTTTTTAATCCTAAATAGATTGATTTATCAAAAACTTAGTACCTTATCTTACTTTTTCTTTAAGTTTGTCCAATATATGACTAAACCGATACTAATTAACATAAATCTTATATTCTACTTATACTATTATAATGAAAAGCAACTCTACGATTTAAAAAATAATAATACTAAAAATCTATTACATCTTATTTACAATTATAAACAATTTTGATTATTACATACATTTAATTACAGCGGTGTTAAAACATAAGTATTTTATTACGGCAAATAAAACAAGTATAAATCTTTGCATAAATCTTGGAGCTTCGGAAAGTTTGTGTAAAAAATTGCGAGAGGTTATTGCAGTGCGCAGCTAACCTTAGCCTCCAAGATATTCGTAAAGATGTATACTATGTCATCTGTATAAAACATATTCATTTCTCTCATTCTCCTTAGAGAAACAGAGATAACAATATTATTGTACAGTCAGATGCACAATCATATATACAATTACAAAGCTTTACAAGCTAGTATACGCCTTCGGTTTTAAAAATATTGGACTTATCAGTTTGTATGCTTCCGTTTATGAATATATGCTAAAGGTTAATTCGTGCATTTTAGAAACTGTAGGAATATGCAAGATTATGCATGTTAAAATTTATGTAGGTGACTGTACAATAATGTTTGGTGGATTTCTACTTATATGGAGTCAATGACAATTACTAAAGGGTATCTAAGATAAAAAGGTCTTTTAAAGGGAATGTCATGGTATGGGTGCCAGGGGAATGTCTAAAAGGATGGACAAATTAGGTACATTGGCGTAGTCAACGTCCAGGATAGAGGAGGAGTTCCCTTGTCTAGACATACATGAATGAGTAATCCAACGACTCTTCACATGAGAATTTAACGCTTATTTTATTATATAATATAACGCTTATTTTATTGCCCAGTTTGGAGAAAAACTGTATATTTCGACTGCCGTAACTTTTATGGTAATACATATGGCTTCCTTTGTTATAATGTAGATGTATGTTATGTAAGTTTTATAGTGTCTGTGTATAGTAAAATTGTGCGTGTAACATTCCGAGCCGACATAAAGTTTGCATGGCACTGTAGGTAACTAAAATAATACTTTTATTCTTAACCTAACCTAAGCAGCACCACTTTCTCCTGTTTCGTCTACCTCCTCAATAAACCCGCACTGCAGTTCGTACAGCCGCGCGTAAATCCCTTTCCGCGCCATCAACTCCGCGTGGTTGCCCATCTCCGCAACCACGCCCTTGTCTATGACACAGATTATATCTGCGTTCTTTATGGTCGCTAGTCTATGGGCGATTATTAGACAGGTGCGTCCTTCACTAGCGCGGTCTAGCGCTTCTTGAACAACCTAAAAAAACAATTTTAAGCTGGTTGAAGTGAACTCTGAACAAAGGAACACCTAGAAATGTTGTCATCTCATTCGTTCCCTTTAAACAAGACAGAGATAAGAATATGATTCGTACCTTTTCACTGTGTGTATCCAGTGCTGAAGTTGCTTCATCTAGTAACAACACTCGCGGGTTGCGGACGAGGGCTCTAGCGATAGCTATCCTCTGCTTCTGTCCACCCGATAACTGTGATGCGCGCGCGCCGATACGAGTCTCATAACCCTAGAAAGAAATAAGATAGATGGATGGATGTTTGTTAGGATTTGTAGCTTAAAGTCCTGAATGGATCTCGATCAATTTAGTATAGTTGTAGAGGATGGAGTGGAAGAACACATAGACAACTTCTGTTTTTTTTTTTAATTCCACGCGAACGGAGTTTCGGGCGAAAGCTAGTCTAAATATAACTTTTAAGACCTTGTAAAAAAAGAGTAATTTTCATGCGAATATCTGTCGCTTGCGTCTTCGTCCACGTAGAATTTAAAAAAAAAAGGATGTAACACATCCCCTATTTCAGGCAATAATATATCCATTGAGCCATGTTTTAGTTACCCGGTAACAAACACCTTGGGCCACCAAGACAAGAATCTATACTAATATTATAAAGCGAAAATATTTGTACTTTGCATGTATTGAAATAAAAACTACTGAGCCGATTAAAAAAATCTAATATGTTCTATGTTTTACACTAGCTGTTGCTCGCGACTTCGCCCGCGTGAATCTAAAATAATATTAAAAAACATAGCCTATGTTACTCATAGACAAAAGACCTTTCTAATGATGAAAGAATTTTTGAAATCGGCCCAGTAGTGTTTGAGTTATTTCAATACATACAAAAATACAAATCTATTTTTTTTATATAACATAAAGTGGCAAAGGGGCAAGCGGCCACCTGAATCCGCCAAAATGGCGAAGCGACCGCTGCCCATAGACATCCGCAATTGCAGATGCGTTGCCTACCCTTATACGACGGAGGAGACCCACATAAAGAGGATATTTCCCCTTCATATGCATCTCCTCCGCCGTCAAATCTTTCCTCTTTATAATATTAGTATAGATTTAATGGTTCATTATCAGTGATTAACATAAGCTATGTCTTATTTAAGTCTCTTACAATTTTCTTAATATCTAGTTGACACAGACTATAGTAACTAAGATAACTCACAGTAGGCAATGCGGCAACAAACGAGTGCACATTCGCTTCTTTCGCTGCTTTTACAATCTCGTCCATCGCCACGACTCTCGTGTTGTCTCCATACGCGATGTTCTCGGCGATGGTTCTGTCGAACAGCACCGGCTCTTGCGACACTATGCCCAGGTTCTTACGTAGCGTCGGCAAGTTCATGTCGCCGGCTATACTGTTGTCGTCCATGTACTGAAGCATTAATCATTATTTGAAACAGAGAACTTAGTTATTGAAGGAAAGCAGTATAGTGAAATATATTTTTATGACGTCACGAACTTTGATCCCTCTATTTTAAGTGCATCAGAAGACTGTAAGGAAACTACACATTTCCAGAACACTCCGCAGTTACACAATGTTGTGGAAATATTTAGAAGGATTTCTACATTTGCTTTTTCATATGAAACGTGATTCTGTTTTCAGAATTATATTACTTCGTAGTGTTAGGAACAAAATTAGTACCGTGCTGTAGAGTTGGCGCAACTCTAGATTATCGGCATAAACGACACGTCCCTAACTGACAGCTGTCAATGTCACTAGAAGTATGGATAGATTGGCGCGCAACTTGAGTCTTGATGAGAAGTGTTGTTCTGAGTTTAAAGCGACAGTATCAATTAAATAAGTTGTCTAATAGTAGGCACAGTTACCATAACATAAATTAGCCTCTTCTAATATCCAATTAGGTAGCAATTGTGTGATGGGATAATAAAAAAGCAATTAACCTTTTTTCGCCTAAAAACATTTAACCCTTACAGTATCATAAAATAACTGAGACGAAATGTTGTTTTTTTACATTTGATTTTGGCGCAATCAAGTTTGACAGTTTTGTTTTTCTAATCGTTCACTCGGAAATGCATTTGCCGCCTTGGACATACGTTTTATTTTGACATTCGTTAAAATTAATATTGATTCAAAAATAATTGAGTAATCGATATCGATTTTTATTGAAGGGAAAACCTGCGTTAAAAGCTGCGTTCTCAGCGAGTAACATAGGCTATGTTATTCACGCGGGTGAAATTGCGAAACAACTAGTTTTGTTATAAACGCAAAGCAATGATATTTCAATTTTTTGTACAGTTTAATAGAAAGTTTTTCCTACCACATATCCTTCATCCGGGTCGTAGAGCCGCTGCAGCAGCTGTATGAGGGTGGACTTGCCGCAGCCGCT